ACGGAATAGCGCACTTTTGTAATGAATGGTTAAAACTCAAGTTTGAACAAACAGGTTTTGAGAAAATTTAAATTTCAAAGTTCTACAAAATTAAAATAAATGAAAAAAATAAGAATAACAGCAATGTAAACTAAGTGAATTTATACAAAAATAAAAAATGAAGAAAGTTGTGATCGACTTATTAAGATCACTGGTTACCATGGGTCAAATGCTTTTTCTTTCTAGATTGACTCTGTTAAACATTTCAAATCATGGGTTGCAAAAACTGTCTCCATTGATGTTTGTCGTCGGATTGGTTTTCATATATCCTGCCTATGTACGTGTTTCAAGACTTTTCCTTCTGCAGCATTTATATTTATATTGAAATCCCCGTCAAGACAGTCATTATACGTTAATAAAAAAAGAAAAGAAAAATACTTTAAATTTTTATTATGTAAGTGCATCAAGAATGACTGCTGGTGAAAATGAAAAGAAAAAAAAGAATTCTAAAAAAATTATCGAACAGCAGCTGTTGCCATCGCAACGCAAGCAATGACGACGCATGCGCACTGTTTAGCATTACTCTTGAACGTAGTTGAAAAGTGTGTTGACGTCCAAATATGGTGCGTACCCCATCAAACCCAAAACAACACCCATTTTGCCAATGGGTCAAAAATTTAAAAAAAATCCATGAAATATTTAAAAAATAATCATGATTATCGTCTGCAATGCATTATAAACTCTAGGCTTATAAATTAAAAAAATAACTATAAAAACTGATTCCCCCTTTTACTAAAAGAGATATTAATTAATTCCCCCATTGACTGATTCCACATTCCCCGATATTGATTCGTTGATTTACTACTACGTCAGTTCAATAAATCGCTACTCCTCCAAATTCGCTGATTTATAGATTCGATTATTTGCCAATTAACTGATTCGCTTAGTAACTGATTTGTTTTTTCATTACTTCATTGATATGGTGATTCCTTGATTTCCTAATTCATTTATCATTTTTAAATCGAAATAATTAATCCACACTCTAATTGAACTTAATTCACTTTATACGTTGATCATTTCTAAATCAAAATAATCACAATTAGAAAAAAATTTATTAAGTAAGTTTAAGTAAAAAGAATAAACCAATGTTAAAAGATTCATCAAAAACTNGTCTCAATTGATGTCTGTCGTCAGATTGATTTTCATATATCCTGCCTATGTACGTGTTTTAAGACTTTTCCTTCTGCAGCATTCATATTTATATTGAAATCACCGTCAAGACAGTCATTATACGTTAATAAAAAAAAAAGAATATAAAAATACTCTAAATTATTATTATGTAAGTACATCAAGAATGACTGCGGGAGAAAATGAAAAGAAAAAAAAGAATTCTAAAATAATTATCGAACAGCAGCGGTTGCCATCGCAACGCAAGCAATGACGAAGCATGCGCACTGTTTAGCATTACTCTTGAACGTAGTTGAAAAGTGTGTTGACGTCCAAATAAGGTGCGTACGCCATCAAACCCAAAACAACACCCATTTTGCCAATGGGTCAAAAATTTAAAAAAAATCCATGAAATATTTAAAAAATAATCATGATTATCGTCTGCAATGCATTATAAACTCTAGGCTTATAAATTAAAAAAATAACTATAAAAACTGATTCCCCCTTTTACTAAAAGAGATATTAATTAATTCCCCCATTGACTGATTCCACATTCCCCGATATTGATTCGTTGATTTACTACTATGTTAGTTCAATAAATCGCTACTTCTCCAAATTCGCTGATTTATAGATTCAATTATTTGCCAATTAACTGATTCGCTTAGTAACTGATTTGTTTTTCCATTGCTTCATTGATATGGTGATTCCTTGATTTCCTAATTCATTTATCATTTTTAAATCGAAATAATTAATCTACACTCTAATTGAACTTAATTCACTTTATACATTGATCATTTTTAAATCAAAATAATCACAATTAGAAAAAAATTTATTAAGTAAGTTTAAGTAAAAAGAATAAACCAATGTTAAAAGATTCATCAAAAACTTTTCGAAAATTGCTTAACTATTTTATTTTTAAAAGCAACAAATTGCTTAATCAGGAAATTTTCGTAAATATAATAATTTTTTGAATTTACCATTTTTTATTGCTTAAATAAAGAAGTTTAAAGCAAAAAAAAAGGAATTTAAACTGAAATAGGAAGCATTTTCATACAATAGTTTATTTATCTTTACTCAGTATTGCTGGGAGGCATTTTATTTAAATACAATATTTAGAAACTAATCTAGGAAACTTTTTCACTAACGAAAATGACTTTAAAAAAAAAAAGACGAACATTTTTTTAAAAAGTTTCTTACCATACTTAAAACTCTATTGGTATAGATTGCAAATGAATCTATTTAAATACATCAAAGAACATTAAAACAAAAATAATAAAAAATTTTAAACTTCATATTAGCTTTTTCTCTAAAGTATTTGTTCTTGAATATGTCAATAAAGCGAATGATGTGATTAGCAAATATACTTTTAATGCTTTAACGATTTTACTATACATGTAAAATATCATCGAGCTTAAGGCCTGTTTAGACGATCCAATTTCTTGGACAGAGATTGATTGATATTGATGGAAACTTGTTTTGCTTTGAGCTTTGATCGTGTAAACAAACATCCAAGAACTTGGTCCAACTTCTTGGACGATAGTAGAGCATGTTCTACTTTCCATCCAAGTTTTTTCTCCCTTAACCAATCAGCGTCTTAGGTTTTGTGACGTCAACAATCAGGCAGCAAATTATGTCATCTTCCTGTCTGTTTTCATATATTTTAGTCCAAATAAATTGATCTGTTGCGGTTCATTTGTGTTATTATGATTTTATTTGAATTTATTTAGTTATTTTAAACTTATGTAAGTATTATTTTATAATGTTGAATATGAACAATGCGCATGCGCGAGTTTTTCTTTTAACGAATCAGCGACATTCAAGAACTTGGATAGTGTCAACGAATCATCCAATTTCTTGGACAGAGAAATCCGTCCAATTTCTCGGATTCAAGAAATTGGACCGTGTAAACAGGCCTTTATTCTTTGAATACTTATTTGAATCATACAGAGTAAAAAAAAAATATAGGATTCTTATATTTGTTTCGTATTTGTAATAGTTATTCATGAGCATTTAAGAAAAGGAAAAAAAAAGAAAAGCAATTTTATCACTTTCGAATATTACCTGCTTACTAGGCATAAAAATATCAAGTGCTAGAAAAAATATGCCTTTTAATTCAGGCATTTTAAAAACTCGTTTTTCATCTCTTGATTAATCGTATAAAATTATCAATTCTAGCCCTGATCGAGAAATGATTGTCCATACTTTCTTTATAGACAGAGTTTTTGGATCCTAGCAAAAAATGAAGCATCTGTATTATACACGTTGGGGGTCACAAATCGTCTGAAAGAAAAACTTCAAAACCTGTTGGATTGCCAAAAAAACACATAGTTTTTGAATGGATATTATTAGAAACATCTTCAAGTTTCATCAGACAATAAAATTGGTTTAGATGTTTTTAGTTCTTTCTTCCTCTGGAATGATTCGTTAAATTTTGAAGCGTTTTTTCCCCCTCTCGTTTGAGCATTTGTGTTACCGCTAAAGTTGGAACTCAATTATTCTCCAGATTATGTAGATTAAGTAGAATGATCCTTTAAGGTGCCAGAAAGTTGTTTCATTTCTCAAATTACCTCTGTAATATGCAAACTACCAAGATAATCTGTAAATTACCTAGATAATCTACTTAGATCAGTATTCGGCTAACATGCTACAGGTAGCAAAACTACTGTTGTCGCTACTTTTTTTCGTAGTTTTTAGTGTAGTGTGAGCTACTTTTTAAAAGAAGTAGTGCAATGAGTAGCACGATACAAAAAAAAAACAGTAGTTAGTAGCGATTCCTGGCAACTACTTGCAATGTTAGTTAAATAAAGAAACAACGTTCAAACTGGAAAAAAAATCGAATCTGATTGTTGCAGATCCTTCGAGAAGGCGTCAAAGTACGTAGTGAGAATGCTTCTGTGGCCGAGCAATAATAACATCTGATGCTTGGAATATTCGATTTGAAATCGGTCAAGTTGCTCCTCAGAAATCGAACTTTAAATAAATGACTTTTTTAAAATTCGATTTCGCAGGAACTATAAAGAACGTTTTTGTGCGTGATTCCGGAACTTAAAATATCGGCTGCATAAATTATATAGTATATTTGTGGTCACCTACTAAAACTACTAAGATTGAATCCTAGAACGTAAAGATCCGATCATTGGATCAAAAGTTATTCAAGGTGGATTGACAGAAATAAAATCTATTAAATTTGATTTGCCTTCAAATAAATATATTATCCAAACGTTATAAATTTCTATATGGCTTTCAGATAGGAATTTAAAATACAGCGGCCTTATAATATAAGTGCTGTTATTGAAATAAAATCTATAAAAACTATTAAATTTGATTTGCCTTCAAATAAAAAAAGTTAAGCAAACGCTATAAATTTCTATATCGCGTTTAGATAGAAATTTATAATATTACTATAATGTAAGTGCTGTTATTGAAATCAAATTTATAAAGTCATTTAAATTTGATTTGCCTTCAAATAAATTAATCATGCAAACGCCATAAATTTCTTTGCGTCGTTCGATTCTCATAAAAACAGAGTCCAAAATTTCTGCCATTTTTTTGTGAGCTAAATGTTTAAAATAGTGTCAAAAAGAATAAGAACTTGTTTCAAATTTTCTCTACTCTAATCTTTTTATGGCCCGCTTGAGATTCAATGAGTAGTTTTGGAGGGCGTTTTATGGTCGCTGAGTTTAGCACACTAACTAAAAATCTTTTTTTTTTATTCGAACCATTTTTTATCAATTTCACGGTATTCTCAAGGACAGCTTTGTGAGTGTTACTTAACAAGTTAATAAAACTGAGTTTCTTAAGTGAGCGGTGGTGGAGATTATTTATCTAAGAAGTGCATTGTTTTCTTTTTATAGAATGGATCACTGCGACCCTCGCAACAGAAACAGTGGACATTATTGAATGAATCACTTCTGAAGTGCCATCTCTCCATCAATGAGACAACACCGCCAGACAGAGGTAAATTACAATTATTTAACTATTCATTCATTAGAAGGGCCTTAACCTTTCTAAGTTCACATTTTGTTTTAAAATTTCCTTTTCTTAACTTGCATCGTTTCAAAAAACGAATATTCTTCTCTGTAAAACCGTGTAATATAGAGTTGCTCATATTTCACGCCATGCTTAGAAAGGAGAAAGAATTGTTTTTTTTTCTTCATTAATTTAATAAAACCATCGATTATTTATCGATTAGTGATAATTATTTTTGATTGAGCCATGATGGCTCAGGGGATAGAGCGTTCGCATTCCAATGAGGCGAACCGGGTTCGAATCACAGTCGATACGAATTCCGCATTCGGCTAGCACCGACCACAGTGCTGACGTAAGATATCCTCAGTGGTATAGACGTATAATGGGTTAGAATCCCTTTACCGTCAGGTTAACCACGAGAGGTTCTCGTGGTCTTCCTTTCTATGTAACGCAAATGCGGGTTAGCTCCATCACGAAGTCCTCCACGAAGGCAAATTTCTCCCAATACTCGATCCAGGAGTTCCCTTGTCTTCTGGATTGGGTTCAAAATCACAAGACTATGGAGTTGAACACTGGTAGTAGTAAACCCAAAATTGCGTCGGGTGTTCAACAACGGATATAACATAAAATAAAATAGCTCCCAAGTGTCAGGCTCTCTTCTTAACCAGACGTTACCCTTTACTGTTACCCACTTTTATAAAAATTAAACCCTTTTTTTCATTAGTGCTCATAATTAATTAAGTTACGAAATCGGATACAAAATCGTTATTTTTCTGAATAAACAAATTTTTTTACCGACTGATTTAGATTGTTGCTATCAAAACATAGAATTATCTAAATTCAGTCTGAAGAATTGCCGAAAACATGAATCTCTTAATGTTAGTTTCTCATTTTGACATATCTTAAGAACTAATAAAACGAATCAAAGAGTATTTTTTTTACACAATTAAAAATTTCGTTTATTCAACAATAATCCCATGTAAATAAGTAGATTTTAATAACTTATTATTATTTCTTTATTATTTTATTCTTTAAGAGTTAAAAAAATTAAAACTAAAAATTTTTTTATTCCATTTAATGTTATGAAATTGCAAACAACGAAGTACAAAATTTGAGCGAAATAGATCGAATAGTTTCTGCGTTTAAAAACTTCGAAAAAATGTTATTTTAAAACTTGCTTTCTCAAGAAGTATTCGACCTATTTAGTTAATAGTTTTAGTGAATACGATTATGCGAATGCTTTTACCATTGAATTTCTCTTAGATTAGGACTCTTATTTTTTTATTTATTTATTTATTTTTTAACATTCATAAATGCTTCCAAAATTAATTCATCATCAACTTCTCCAACACTTCTTTGTTTAATAAAGTCCCTTATGTTTAAGATACCTTCAGTTACACTACAAAAATATGTTCACCCTCTTTAGACACGAGTTATTGAAATCTTCCTTAAATTAATTTAGTTTAAGAGTATTTTTTTTTTAAATTAAAGCATACAATTACCGATACTGCTTCTCGTTTATTATGTTCCTCAGTTACGTTAAATATTTTACTTAGACATTATCCAGTGGTTCGGTGGCACAATCGGTTAAGGTGTCTTTGTTGGTGGGCAGTTGGGGGTTTTTGAGTTCGATTTCGGCTGACGATAAAATAGTCGAAGCGTATACGCAGAAAGGTGCTCGTCAAATCTGCATGCTAAATCAGGGAATAGAGCGTTCGCTTCACCTCTCAATGAGGTGGTTTACCGTGGGGGATTTTCGTGGTCTTCCTCTCCCTGCAACGCAAATGAGGGTTAGTTCTATCAAAATGTCTTCCAGAAAGGCAGATTTCTCCCAATACTTGATCCAGGAGTTCCCTTCTCTTCTGGTTCGGGTTCAAAACTACAAGGCCATGGAGCTGAACATTGGTAGTCGCAAACCCATAAAATTGGGTCGGCTGTTCAACGATGGGTATAAAATTATAATATAATAAAATTATTTTTGATTGGCTCAAGGAATAGAGCGTTCACCTCCTGATGATGTGAACCGAGTTGGAATCCCAGCCATAGCTGGTCGATGCGAATTCCGCACCCGGCTCGCACCTACCACATTGCTGTGACGTAAAATATTGTCAGTGATAGGCGGATCATGGATTAAAGTCCCCTGGGAGGAGGTCCATGGCTGGAGGCTTTCGTGATTTTTCAGCTAAAAATAAACTGCAGTTTTTCTACAGAACTGAAGTAGTTTTGTAGTTTTTTCTAGTTAACTGCAGATATTCTGTTGTGCAATCTTAAGTGTAAAAACACTACATCCATTTTTCAGCCAATGTGAATTAATTTATCACTAATTTATTTCAAAAAAACTTTTAGCTATTGTATACAAAATTAATGTTGCTTAAGTGAGGTCAATTTAAAATCATAAATTTAAAAAAACTGAAACTTTAAATCCATGGTTATGCTGCAGTAAATTTGAAGTAATTATGCAGTCATTGTTTCAGAAGTATATTTTCTGATGAATCTGCAGAAAAACTGAAATTTTATTTATTTATTTATTTATTTTTTGCAGCATGCAAGGAATTTTTACCTCAATATAAGAAATATAGAATCTTTCCTATTCGAAGTAAAAATAAACAAAATGCAAACTGCTGTCTTTTATTTGCTTAAATGTTATTTGAACCGTTTCATATCTTGTGCATAATTTTGTATGTTTTTCTATGATTAATTATAAACAGTAAAATAATACATCATATTAATGAATATTTGAATGTTATAATAATACAATTGTCTACAATTCGCTCAAAATATTTTCTAAGCGCTCTTGTTGAAATAAGTGTAAAGAGCTTTAGACCATTATTTTAAACTAATTCAAACATTACTCAATTTTCTTGTTCTTATGAGTATACGCCCATTATTTATTTCTAAATACTTTCAAGTATTTAAGATACATTTTTCCCGTTAATTTTAAAGATTACTGAAATGTTTTCTGACATGGATGAAAAATAGCAACATAATCCATCCTGTTCAAGATCTTCGGTTGATGTAATAATCTGTCATCTTACAATTCGTAAAAGCTGTCAAAATAATATAAACCTAATAAACCGAAAAAGTTTCGAGGGAAGAGTTAAGAAAACCAATCGTTAAAGGATCCAGATTGGACAAATAAGTATAATTATTAATAATTAAGCTTGAATACCTAATATAATTTAGTTTAAATAATTGAAATAATTAATAATAATAAAATATAATTTATTTTAATTACTCCCTTAACAGTGATATATTTCAGAAAAATGGACCAAAAATGGAAATTTTTTTTTAATGTTTCATTTCGTTCTTTATATTATTATAAAAGTTAGAAAATGATTTTTTGTAACAAAAATAAAATTTTAAATTCAATAACTACTGTATTTATAGTGTTTACATACACACAAAAAAAAAGTAATGGATTACACACACATCTTATTCAATTAGAGCAAATTAAACAAAATTTTGAAGCTAAATATAATATAATATAAAAACACAACAATATGATTTTCAATGCATAAATTTTACAAATCTTTTACTGTATGGTATATCCCAAAACCCCCTCCCACATTTCCCTCCCTCGACTGAAGTCGTAATTGGTGAAAAACTAGGACCCCTAATGCATCTATTAGGAAAATAGTGAAGTAAGTAGGGGAGAGGGGGGGCACATGTGAACATGGTATGTTTTACCAATATGATTTGAAATAAAAAATCCTGAAAATTTTTCAATTGATGGCAGTACTAGTCCTAACTCTTTGCAAAACTTTCAGAGCAATGAGACATTTTGTTGTTCTATTCTGACAATTTCTTTGTATCAGCTGGTGTTGAATATATTACAATCACTCACTTCTTCAAGTGAAAGCGTAATATAAATCCACTAATAAGCTAAAATTAACTATTGCAGACCATTATATGAACATTTAGGTAAGTTTATGACAATTAGTCATTTTTTTTACTCAATTGAAAATTCTTTATTTTTCAAGTTAGGTTTAAGAAGGAAGATGGGGCACTTGTGAACAAAACATTTGGGGCAGTTGTGAACAGTTCACATGTGCCCCAACATAGTATTAAGATTATTATCCTCATGATATTATAAGTTTAAAAAATATGTATGCATTTAAAATTATTATTATTTAATTTTCCATAATTAATTTATTAATTTTTTGCTTAAATTTTTTTTTATTAAATGGTTGATCGCGCATCACGCATATTAACTCATACACCTGAGAAAGATGGAATTGCTAAAGCTACAAACGAAAAGATAGAAAAAATGAAAAAAAAGCATGAAAGAGTATTAGAGAAGGAAGAAAAACGCCCATTACAACTCCTGAGGATCATAAAGTTGCGAAAAACCCAAAAGCGGAAAAATTATTATACAGCTGAAAAATTATTTTCTTACTGACAGTACTGTTGTACAATTTAAATTCACATAGTTAGCTACAACCACTTCAGTATAATGCGTATCTATATCTGTTATATTAAAGATTTTTTTCTTTGAAATGTGATGATTGCTTTGTGTTTTTAATCTTGTTCATATGTGCCCCAGGCATGTTCACATGTGCCCCAAATAGTGGCACATGTGAACAATTGAAGTAATTTTTCTAAACTATCATAAAGTAAAGAAATATTTTATTGAAAAATCTCAAACAATTCCGTAAGACAAAGAAAAGACTATTTAAACATATGGACTTCTTTACTGTGAGAAATTGATGATATTTTTTGATAAATGAAGAAATAAAAAAGTTTGTTCACATGTGCCCCCCTCTCCCCTGTCCTAAAGTAGAAACGAACTCAGCTCATGCTTCACAAAATGGAAACGTTCATTTTTCTTCTGCTAGAAGTCATTTCTGGCATCACAAATACTGCGCGTAGTTGTTGCCCGAACTAGACACTTCGGGCGACACTAGCAAGCTAAGTAACAATTAAACTTGAACAATTTATATAATTTAGCTTGGATAATTAATAATAATACACAATTCACTCAACATATT